CATTCCTCCAAAGCCCCAGCATCCAGCACAGGCCACCCAGCCGTGGTGGGCTCCTTCCTCATGGCCTCTCCACCACCTGCCAGGTTCCCACAGTCAAGTCTGCCTGGTCCTTGCTCCCTAAGTGCCACGTCCGGTCCTTGGGGGGCTCCTCCTGGTGCCGGGTGCATGAAGGCACAGCTCAGTGGAAGGGTCCGCGGCACCAGCCTCAAACCCCAAGGCAGAGACACCCACTAACGGCAAATCATCAGCCAGATTCCTTCAATTTGGGGTAATCATGCCCGCACGCAGGCTGCCCGCAGATGAAATGAGTGAGGGTTCCCAGAGTCCTGGGCGCTATTAGGTGCTCTCGCCCTTAGGAACCCCTGATTAGCCCGTCGCCGACCTGCTCAGCAGTGGGTGAGCTCAGCTGGGCTGGGCCTGCGGGCCCGAGCACTCTCCTGCCCCCTCCTCCACTGTCTGGGGGAGGGTATGGGCCAGGCTCACTGCTCTGCGGACCCTGGTTCTGGTTCTGGCTGGGGCTCGATCCACCACGGTCCCCCAGCCGTTCTCGGGCTGCTCTAGTGCTGGCAGGGGTCAGCTTCAACAGTGAGTAGAGGATAGGAAGGGACGGAGCAGAGAGTGGCTGTGCCCCCACGCCCCTTCGCCCCCTCCCCCAACCGGGTGCGGGAGGCTTCCTGAGGCCATGGATTCCCAGCCCCCTGGACTCCCCCACACACCTCCTCTCTCATACCCTCACTCCTGTTCCCTGTGGGCAGCCGGTCCCCCTGGGAAAGGGGGGCTCCTTGCCCAGGTAGGAGTTGCAGGAGTGGGCGGGGTGCTGAGAGCAGCAGGAGGCAGGTGAGGACAGGCCAGGTGAGGGCGGACTGGACCAGCTCACTTTGGCTTCCCAAGTCAGCTCAGCGTGTGGTTTGGGTAATTACAGGGAAACAAAATGCACCCGTGCCCCTCCTGGCTGAATGTGCATTCTTCCCTCAGAGTCAGTGTGGCGTAGTGGACAGGCACAGCCCCGATCTGGCAAGCTGGGTCCCCCAATGAGGTGGATGCCTGCCTCACAGGTGCCGGGGGTGAGGCCAGGGGATGCTTGGGAGGCTTGGTGTTTAGAAAGCCCCGTGTTCAGGCCAGTCCTCCCCCCACCCCATCCTGGCCCCCACAGGTGGCTGGTGGCAGAGGCGTCCCTGTTGCCTTGTCCGCACAGTCAGCCCAGCCCTGCCCCGGGGAAGGTGGGTTGGAGAGGCTTAGGGGCTGTGCTTCAGGAGCGAGACTGGCATGCAGACAGGCCGTGGCAGCGGGTAATTAGTAACCAGACCACGGCCAGGCCAGCGGGATGAGAAAGCGCAGTCCCCGTGGCCGCAGCTTAGAATGTGTTGGTGAGGCTGCGCATGTGTGAGTGTGTGTGTGTGTGTGAGTGAGTGTGTGTGTGAGTGAGTGTGAGTGTGTGTGTGTGTGTGTGTGTGTGCACGCGTGCGCGCGCGCTGGTCGGCCCTGGAAAGTCACCTTCCACCCTCGACACTCAGCGTCTTCCCCTTTAAGATAGAAACTTGACCAAGTGAATTCCAGTTTAAATTTCATTGAGCGAACACCTGGCTGTTCTGGTTCACTGGTTTTCAGGAGCCTGGCCATTCCGCCCCAGCCAGAACTGAGGATAAAGAGTTTGAAGCGTGAAACCCAAGACCTTTGGTCTGGCCGGCCCTTCCTTCTTGGTTTGGTGTGTGGTTCGCACATCCGTGTGGTTTGTTGTGACTCGGTGCTGGTTCTACTGTAAAGCCAGGATCACTCGGCGGCCAGCACCAGGGGTGTTAGAGCTGAGCTGTGGGTGAACTGCGGGTGCATGAACTCGCCTGAGACCCTGTGCTCCTGGGAGC